GTATGTTGATGGTATTTCTATTGATGGTATTTCTATTGCATTGAATCTGTATAACAGTTTTGGGAGAATGGCCATCTTCACAATGTTTGTTCTTCCTATCCATGAGCAAGGGATGTCTTTCCATTTTCTGAGATCATCTTTAATTTCCTTTTTCAGTGTATAATTTTCACTGTATAAGTCTTTCACTTCTTTCGTAAGAGTAATTCCTAAATATTTCACTTTTTTGCTTGCTAATGTGAATAGTCCAGTTTCTCTTATTTCCCTCTCTGTGATTTTGTTGTTCGTGTATAGGAATGCTATTGATTTCTGAGTATTGATTTTGTATCCAGCCACATTACTGAATTTATTTATTGTATCTAAGAGTCTTTCAATGGAGTTTAGTGGGTCTTCTATGTAGAGTATCATGTCATCTGCAAACAATGATAATTTAATTTCTTCTTTTCCTATCTTTACCCCTTTTATTTCTCTTTCTTGCCTAATTGCTCTGGCTAGTACTTCCAGTACTATATTAAATATGAGTGGTGATAAAGGACATCCTTGTCTTGTGCCTGATTTTAAAGTAAAGGCTTTCAATTTTTGGCCATTTAGTATGATGCTGGCTGTTGATTTGTCATAAATGGCCTTTATTATATTGAGGTAAAGACCATCTATTCCAATTTTCTGTAAAGTTCTTATCATGAATAAATGTTGGACCTTATCGAAGGCTTTTTCTGCATCTATAGAAATGATCATGTGATTCTTATTTTTGGCTTTATTGATATGGTAGATTACAATTATTGATTTACGTATGTTGAACCATCCTTGCATTCCTGGGATGAATCCCACTTGGTCATGGTGTATAATCTTCTTGATGATTTGCTGCATCCTATTTGCCAATATTTTATTGAGGATTTTTGCATCTGTGTTCATTAGGGAGATTGGTCTATAGTTCTCTTTTTTAGTTGGGTCTTTCTCAGGTTTTGGTACTAGAGTAATATTTGCTTCCAGGAATGACTTAGGAAGGATTGCTTCCCTTTCAATTTCATTGAATAGTATGAGGAGTGTCGGCATTAGGTCTTCTTTGTATTTCTTGTAGAATTCTGCAGTGAATCCATCTGGGCCTGGGCTCTTCTTGGTGGGTAAGGACTTAATTACATTTTCAATTTCATTTACAGAGATTGGGTTATTCAACAGTTTTACATCCTCTTGATCTAGCTTTGGTACTTCATATGCTTCTAAGAAACTGTCTATTTCTTCTGTGTTATCAAATTTTGAGAGCAGAGGTTTTCGAAATAGGTGTTGATGATCTTCTGTATTTCTATTGGGTCTGTAGTGATTTCACCTTTTTCATTTCTTATTCCATGAATTAGAGCTTTTTCTTCCCTTTTTTTTTTAAATAAGGTTGGCTAGGGGCTTATCGATTTTATTTATTCTTTCAAAGAACCAACTCTTTGATTCGTTGATTCTTTGGATTGTATGCTTAGTCTCTATTGCATTGATTTCTGCTCTGATTTTTATAATTTCCTCTCTTCTTTTGGCTTTGGGCTTGACTTGCTCTTCTTTTTCTAGCTGTTTGAGGTGTAGCATCAAGTTATTTATTTGTATTCGTTCTGTTTTCCTGATGTGGGAACTCAGTGCAATAAATTTCCCTCTCAGGATGGCTTTCATTGCATCCCACAGATCCCGGTAAGGTGTATCTGCATTTTCATTTTCCTTTAGGTATTGTTTAATTTCTTCTGTTACCCACTGATTACTCAAGAGTGTGTTATTCAGTTTCCATGTGTTTGTGGGATTTTGCAGTATCTTTTATCATTAATTTCTAATTTCAGAGCGCTATGATCTGATAACATGCAAGGGATGATTTCAACTCTTTTGCACTTGTTTAAATATGTTCTGTGAGCTAATATATGGTCTATTTTAGAGAATGATCCATGTACTGCTGAGAAGAATGTGTATTCTGATGTTGTTGGGTGGAACATTCTGTATATGTCTATCAAACTCATTTGTTCACAGGTGTGATTCAGTTCTGTTATTTCTTTGCTCATTTTCTGTCTGGTTGATCTGTCCCTTGGTGTCAATGGCGTATTAAGGTCTCCTGTTACAGCTGTGTTACTGATAATTTGAGTTTTCATTTCTGTTAATAATTGTTGTACATAACTGGGTGCTCTGGAGTTTGGTGTGTATATATTTAAGATAGTTATCTCTTCCTCTTGGAGTTTTCCCCTTACGAGTATGTAGTGACCTTCTTTGTCCTTTATGGTCATTGTTGGTTTAAAGTTCACGTTGTCTGCAAACAGAATGGCTACTCCTGCCTTTTTTTGGATTCCTGCTGCATGAAGAATTGTTTTCCATCCTTTGAGTTGCAGTCTGTGAGTATTCTTCTGGGTTAGATGGGTTTCCTGTAAACAGCATATGGTTGGATTTTGTTTCTTGATCCATTCTGCTAGTCTGTTTCTTTTGATTGGTGCATTGAGGCTATTTACATTATTGGTTATTACTGTTAAATGCTGGTTTATTGTTGACACGTTATCTCTCTGCTGTTGCATCTTTATCTTTCGGTTCTGTTTAATTATTTGCTTTGCTTAGTGGTTTTTTCCTTTGTGTATCTAAACTGTCTTTCAATATTTTTTGCAGGGTTGGTTTGGTGTTCTTGAAGTTCTTCAGCTGTTCTTTGTCATGGAAGTATCATATTTCACCATCAATTTTGACTGATAATTTTGCAGGATATATCAGTCTAGGTTGGAAATCATTTTGCTTTAGGATCTGGAATACTTCACTCCATGCTCTTCTTGACTTTATTGTTTGTGATGAGAAGTCTGCTGTGATTCTGATAGGTTTTCCTTTATAAGTGATCTGTCTTTTCTCTCTGACAGCTTTTAATAATCTATTCTTGTGTTGGATTTCTAGGATGGTGATTATTATATGTCTGGGTATAGTTTTATTTTGGTTATGACTATTTGGAGTTCTATATGCTTCGCTGATCCTCATGTCAGTTTCTGATCTCATGCTTGGGAAATTTTCAGCTATTACTTCTCTAAATATCCTCTTGACATCCTTTATGTTGTCTCCTTCTTTTTCACTAATCCCTATCATTCTTATGTTATTCTTCTTTGCATCATCTTGCAGTTGTTGAATTGTTGTTTCCTGATTCCTTGTTATTTTTAAAAGATCTTTCCTTTCCTGTTCACTAGCTGCAATCCTGTCTTCAAGGTCTGAAATTCTATCTTCACTTTCATTAAGGTGGTTTTTACAACTTTCAGTGGAGTTTTTTATTTCCTGTATATCTCTGTGCATCTGCATTATGTATTCTGTTTGCTTCTTATATTGCTCGTCTAGGGATTCTATCTTTTTGTTTAGTTCCTCCAATTTTTTATCTGTGTTTTCTTTAGATATATTCAGAATCTCTTTCATTTCTTTTATCATTTCTTCTTTTATCTGGGAGATTATTTCGAGTTTGAATTTCTTTAAAGCTTCCTGGAGTTGCTTGTCAATTTCAGTAGCTATTGTGTCCGAGATATGAGGTGGATGGGATATATTTTCTTCTATATACATCACTCCTAGGGTTTCTTGAGATGGGCTGGAGGTTTGAGGTTGTAATTTGGTCTTTCGTTTTGTCATTTTCCTATATTTCTGTGTTTCAAGTGTTATTTGAAAGCTTCCTCAGGATCTTTTGAAAATCCCCTTCTATGTTTGCAGCTACTGAGACTCTGGCACCACACTACCCCAAGCCATTGGGCCTGCAGAACCAACGGCCCTCCTCTGCCTGCTCAGAACTCCGCAGTTCCAGACAAGCTGGGCCTCAGGGACACTGTGCGCCCACCTGCCCCTTGGAGGCTTCACAGCTCTTCAATCACAGCCGGATTAGGGTACTCACCACAGGCCGCGGTGCCTCAGGAACCTGTGATTCCTCCCTGCTTGCAGAGATATCCACAGTCCTCCAGACACATGGAGAGGCCGATGCAGGCACCCCAGATCCGCCCAGCTCCTCCTCTGCACACCGATGGCTAGGCGCGGCAGCAAAACAGGCTGGGCTCGGGGGATAGTGTGGGCCCACCCACCCGTCGGTAGCTCAGCAGTTCTCCAAGTGCAACCGGGATGGGGAGGCGGATGTAGAGGCCTCAAACCCACCTCTCCCCTTCATTGCACCTGGAAGCCTGGAGGGACCCAAACAGTCTGGGCCGAGATATCCACAGTCCTCCAGACACACGGAGAGGCCGATGCAGGCACCCCAGATCCGCCGAGCTCCTCTTCTGCCTCTAGGCTCAAATTTGTAATTCTCCCACCTCACCTCTCAGGATGCTTGGATTACAGACAAAACTTTCCACATTCAGTTAAATTGTCTTACTTTTCGTATCTACACTGTTGAGGGATACAAGCAGTTGAGCATTCACACTGCTAGTGGAAGTGACTAATTAAAGTGAGCAATGATTTAGTCATTCATTGCAATGCTTTAATACTGAAAAAACTACAAACTATCTAGGTACTCGACAATTGGAAGATGGTTTATAAATCATACTGAAGACACATGAAAATATCGAGCCTTTTACAAACTGTTAATAGGACATTGGTTGATATAGAAAAGATACTCATAAAAAACAGTCTCATTTGGGCTGGGGATTTAGTTCAGCAGCACAAGCGCCTGCAAGCGCATGGTCATGAGTTCGATCCCAGATACTGAAAAAAAAAGTCTCATTAAATCTAACAGGTTATAAAATATCTATGAAAATACACATATCTACTTTAGCTTTTAAATACATCAATAGAGACATACATATAAATATTTCTGTGTGTGTGTTTGTATATGTAGATATATATAGAGAGATATGCCAGTCTACCTACCAAATGTTAACAATAGTTAAGACAATATTGGTAGGAGTAGAGTTTAATTTTTATTTATGTTCATGTGGAGTTTTTCTATACCACAAACATGTCACTGAAAAATAAATCTTTTTTTAAATAAATCTTTTAAAAAGTCAAGAAGGCCAAAGCAACTGATAAATAATTTTTTTACATATCATTGTCTCCTCCTCCAAAAGACCACACAGTTCTTCCATCTTTAGACAGAGCAATAGTATGTGAACTGCCACAAGAAACCTCTCCAACATTGCTAATGTCTTTTACTAACATTGGAATGTTACAGCTATTGCTATCACCATGACCTTAGATGAAAAACACAATGAAGAAGCAGTGTTAACTCCTTTTCTATAGGCAATCATTGCACAAGTAGAATAAACATCACAAGTTATTTTGAAGTGCATTTAAATATGACAAGTGGAATCATTCCTAGTATCTTCTTAATCAGTCGTTCAGTAGAATGACTGGGGCATCCAGACACCAGTGAAGCATCTGACATTCTATCAATGGTGCTAGAATCATGCTTGTACCAACTTGTTTCCATGACCCAGTAGATTAAAACATCATATCATGATGGTATGTTTCTTATTCCTAAAGCTGTACAGTGCCTGGCCATAATATAAGGTCTAGGTTAAAAACTTACTAGATATAATTACATTTTACATAACAGCATGAGCCTGTAGATATAAAAACTATATGCCCCTGAGCTTAAAATTAACATAAGAAATGGTCTATATATCTATTCTCACAGCTTCTCAGTAACTCTAATCATTTTTATTTTCTGTAAGAATAATTTTAATTTTTAAAAAAACTTACCTAATCTTCCAAAGTCTCCTTCACCCCATGTATATAATTCACTGTCCTCTGCAACAGCAGCACTGTGCCAGTATCCAGCTGACACACAAACAACTACCTGCATGACACACACGGAAATTTAAAGAGCACAGATGCTAAAACACACAGTCTGTACACTTCAAAGATACTAATATTCTACTAAGACTTCAAGATACTAATATTCACAGCACTTTCAAAAAACATTCTAATGTGGAAACTACACTCAGGACAAGACACGAGTGTCCTGATTACTTGTAAGGTAGTCAAGGAAGTGTCTATGTTCTACTTGCCAAGCAACAAACCTTGGCTTCCACCCATGTGAGAGAACTTTTCTCAGTTTATATAAAGGCACTGCAAGGGCTGGCAGGATCTCTAAAGGTATCAGTCTAAATACTTGTAGAAATACCAAACGTATCTTGGCTTAGAGTAGGAAAGATCACAGTCCTTTCAGAACAATAATAAACTCCATTCCCAATACTGAGGACTGAACCCAAGGATGCTCTACCATGGAGTGACATCATACCCAGCTCTTTTTATACTTTGAGACATGTTCTCATTAAGTTGCCCAGGCTCATCTGGAACTTGTGACCCTACTGCCTCAGGGTCCTAAATAGCTAGGATTACAGGCACACTCCACAGTACCTGGTTAACAATTTTTACATATATAGTTAGCACAAAATATCTAGATCTAGCTGATCAAGAAAATCTCATTGTGGGGCTGGGGATTTAGCTCAGCAGCATAAGTGCCTGCCTGGCAAGCATGAGGTCATGAGTTCAATTTCCGGTACAAAAGAAAATTATTATTAACTGGGTGTGGTGGCACATGGTAATTACCCTGACACTCAAGAGGCTGAGGCAATAGGATCACAATGAGTCCAAAACCAGCCTCAATACACAATGAGTTTCTGAACTACACAAGACCCTGTCTCAAAAACAAAACATTATATAATAGATCTCTTATTATATAATAAAGAGATTGATTATTACTAATTTAGAAAACTCAAAAGCAATATATAGGCATCTATTAATTAAGGGGGTAAAGAATCAAGGGGGTAAAGATGTACAGTACATCAATATAATGCAGGTATCACTCATACCTTCTAACACCGATAGAAACCATAGCAACCAAAAATATGAAAAAAAACTGCACTAAAAGCTCCATATCTATTTAATTTCCAAAGATTAAACCACACGGTAGGAAACTAAATATGAGATTAAATTAAAAATATTCAGCACCAGGCAGGGAAGGGAGGTGGTGGTGGTACTGTAATCCCTGCACTTGAGAGGCTAATGCAGGAGGATCAATGTAAGTTTGAGGTCAGCCTGAGCTGCTACTGAGTTCAAAGCCACTCTGAACAGCAGAGGAAAACTCTGTCTCAAAAAAAAAATCAGCATCTAATAGATTAAATAGATGCTAAAAACTTGTGAAATGTTTCTCAATTTAAAATTGTATGATATTTTTCCTTTATCATATTTGTACTATTATTTGTGTTGTGGTATTGGCTATTGTATTCAAAGCTTCACACAGAGGCTTGGCAAGCCCAAACACCTGAGCTATACCTTCAGCAACCCTCCCCCTTGTTTTATCTACAGGGTCTGAGTTTCTCAGGGTGGCCTAACACTTGGAATCCTCCTGCCTCAGCCTACCATTAGCCAACAGTACAGGCATACACCACCACACCCCACACTATTTTTTTCTTTGTTTTTCAATTTTATTTTGAAAGTAGTAAAATACAACAGATCAAGACAGAATAAAGCCAACTAAAATTGTACAGTGCAATTGGTACAGAACTTCACAGCAGGTTACTGGGATAACAGTAATAAGTATCACAGTATATTTCATTATCTTTACAATAGTTGTTCTTTCAACTACATATATCAAAATAAAATGAAATACAGAATATTACAGAACTTATCAAAACAGAATATTGAATAGAGCAGTACCATTAATCAGAACAGAGCAAAACAGTTATAAAAATATTTGCCTTCAAAGAGATGGTAGAAGGAAATCCCCCTTATTTGCTATGGTCAATCTCCCAGGTGATGCTCAGATTTCTGGTTCCCATTTGCTAACGGGGGGACAGAAGAAGTGGGGTAAGGAAAGTGGGATATTTGACTGTAGACCGTGCACCAGTAGCTTCACGACTGCTTAGCAGGGAGGCAGGCTGGTTGCTTCACAAGTTCCAACATAGTGTGGATCTCAGAAGATACTGGTGGTTCTCCCCGTGAAGGGGCTGTAGTCTGCCACACCACCACTGCTTACCAGGGAGGGGAGCTGCTTGCTTGGTTTCCCAGGGTCCTAAGTTCCAACATGGTACAGATCTCAGGAGACACTGGTGGTTCTCCCCCTGGAAGGGCCCAGCCGGCCACACCACCACTGATTACCAGGGAAGGGAGCTGCTTGCTTGGTCTCCCAGGGTCCTAAGTTCCAACATGGCACAAATCTCAGGAGACACTGGTGGTTCTCCCCCTGGAAGGGCTGCAGTCTGCCACACCGCAGCCACTTACCAAGGAGGGGAGATGCTTGCTTGGCTTCCCAGGATCCTAAGTTCCAACATGGCGCAGATCTCAGAACAGAATTGATTTGAATGATGGTTTTCTCTCTCTCCCTGGTTAACAACGTTAATCACAACGGCCTCCGGCCTCTGTTAATCTCACTTACCTGTTTAACAATTGGACCTTACATTATAAATGAATTAGTAAATTATGTCAAAGATCAGGTTCATAAAATTCATGATTTTAAAGACACAAGTTTATGAACAGATACCTCTGCTTGAAAACTCCATGAGCCAATCATTTGGTTCATTGACAAAAATCAGTGGGGAATGTTATGCTCTACGCTTATCACCCTAGTAACCATGTACCCAGAGCACCGATTACATTGTTATAAATTAGTTATAAATTAACTGAGGTGTGCTATACTGTTCTGTATGCATCATCACCTTAGTAACCTGTTTGTTCACCAAGGGCTGTAACTTAAGAAAAAATAAAAAGGCCTACTACCAACTGCGAAACATCTCTGACCTCAAGCAAAGGGAAACAAAGGCCTTCCTAATTCCTGCTCTGTCAGGTCACTTGGTTAATGTGCTATAAAAATCTGTCAAAATTCTGATTTAGTTGCACAGCTTTGCAAACTCCATCTTCTCTATGCCGCTGTGTACCAGCTTAAATAAATCGCTCTCTTATAGACGTCTTGCCCTCTCCCCCTTGACAACAAACAACATTATGGGGGTACAACACTGACCACTTCCCTGATGCGTGGGAAACCCCCTAGAGCTGCTGCCCCACGCCTGTGTCCTGTTGTACTTGCCCCACAGGTCTTCACACCCCTTTATGGGATTAATTACTGGTAGGTCACCCTGATTGGCAGGGCCAGGCTCCCTCTTTGTAATCTCTAAATGGCATCTGGGGAACACAACTCTCTCCCCTGTCCCTCTAGCTCCAGACACAGGGATCCAAGGGCTCTCAGGGCCACCAGGATGCCCTTACTGCACTCCCAGGGCGAGAAGACTAAATTCACAGTGTGTATGGGCGAAGGCCTGAGCCCAGAGTCCAGGGGAAGACAGAAGATGAGGCTTGACAGGGTGGCATTAGGGTCAAATGAAACCCACTCTCGTTAACCATTACCATCACTTCTTAAAGGAGTCTTCATACTAAGTAGGAAGCTTTTCCAGGAAAACCACTCTCCTCTCACCTAGAAAATATCATTTGGTAAAACTTTTTTTTTCAGACTGATGTAACTTTCAGGAGATGCCTGTGTGAAGTCCAGTGCTTGGCACCCACTCGCATGGGTCGTCATGCACGCGCACACGCACGCGCCTGCACCTGTGAAGTGGGCTTAACGTGAGAGAGCTGGGGCGAAGGTCACAGTCCGTCTGCGGTCCGGCTTGATAGCGCCCAGGCCAAGCCTGAGCTCAGGATCCCGCTCGCTGGGCTGACTGGGCTAGCGGTGCGGTGTGGAGCAAAGCGGGGAACCCCACCCCACCCCTGCACCAGCTTAGCGCCCTTGTGGGTGGCCGCGGACTCCCTGCCACAGGCATGGGTGCTGCTGGTTTAGGGGTGTCGGCAGTTTCCTAGGAGACCCTGGGATCCTTGGCTGCCTCCAAGACAGGCTGCAGGAGGGAGGCCCTGAAACGCAGGCTGGCACAGGGGCGAATTAACAAGGGGTCAGGGAACCCCAGACCACGCGCGCCCCTTCCCCTTGTACCCACTGGTGTGCGCTAGACAGCTCGGAGCGGGCACGCGCCTGGCGGCCCGGGGACACGTGGAGCAGCAAGTTGGAGGCCACGCACAGGCCGCCACCTGGGCCGGAGCAGCCACTGCTCCAGGAAACGCCGCGCCCTGGCACCGAGGCCGTGCCAAGCTGACTGTCGCCTCACGGCTCAGGTGGGTTTTCCGGCCCGCACCCGGGACCCACGCTGCTTTCCGAGACCTAGGGCCCCCCCGCGCCTGGCTGCAGCAGCCTCGACCCGCTGCACCCAGGCTCTGCGCTCCCTAGGGGCGCCCGCACGGACCCCGCCAGACCCCGCCGGACCCCGGCTCCCTGTCCTACTCCCCGACCCTGCGACCTGGCTCCCCGGGCCCACGGCCGCGTTGGAACCCCGTTCACGCTCCCAGCCTCCTCTGCCCCTCTGCGGCCCCCTCCCAGGCGCTGGTGGATCTCCTCCAGCCCACACTATTGTTTTTAATTGGAAATATTTACACTATAAAAATGAGGCATTCAAAGGAATATAACTAATGAAATTAAGGAAGTATTAGACCAAGAAAATACAATTTAAAATAATTTATCTGAAGCTCCATAGAACCTAACATTCAATATGTCATTAAGTATCCTCTGATGCTTTCAAAGTGCAATATTCCTAGGCCCTTTGCCTTGAGGTTGCTATAGAAGTTAAAATAATGCAAATTATGAGAGAGTAAAATTTATTTGCTAGCCAACCAGATCAGAAAATCTCTCATGAAGGAAAAGTGTGCCACTAGTAATACTGGTATAAAGTTAACATTTAGACTTTCCAAAGTTGTGGAGGTTTTCCCGCTCTGTACTGAGCACTGAATCCAGGGATTTTCCACTGACCTATATCCTTAAGGCCCCACACCCAACATTTTTCCCCCTTGAAGCAGGGTAGCCCCAAATTGCCAAACTGCCCAGGCTGAGCTCAAACTTGTTATCTTCCTTCCTTAGTCTCTCAGAGTCCCGGAATTACAGATACGTGCCACCACATCTGGCTAGATTTCACAAAGATTTTTATGTAAAGAAGCATTTATAGAAAAAATGCAAAACACTTATAGAAAGAATGCATATAAGTTCACCTGCTTTCTTTATATATGATTTAGGTTCAGTTTCTTGTGGTATCAATTATTTCTGTGAGACTCTAGACGATTATTTAACCATTCTAAATACTTCTTCATCCAGGTCTATTAAAATGCAACCTTCTCCAAGAAAATCCTGATCCCTCATATAATGCTTAGCCTAAGTTATTTTCTATTGCACTATTCAATTTTTTCTTTATAACTGATTGGGAGGGGGTATCGGCGATCAAACTCACAACCTCGCACTTGCCATGCAGGTGCTTGTGCCACTGAGCTAAATCCCCAGACCTGAAATTATTTTATATATTTGATTTATCCTGAAGACTAAAGCTGTATGAGAACACAGCATTTTTCTAATGCCTAACAACATTGCACTACACTTGGAAACAAATAAATAGTGGTTGAATGAATGATTCCCAGTTTCCTAATCAGTAAAATGGGGGAAAAATACCTCACATGAAAATTAATTCTTATAATAATATACAAACTAAAACTGAGCCAAGAGCAATGATGTGCACTTAAGAGTTGAAATACACAGGAGGCTAGAGCAAGAGGAGCACTTGAACTCCAGAGTTCAAGGCCAGCAGGCAATAGCACAAGACCTCATCTCAAAGAAAGAAAGAGAAGAAAAAATTTAAAAGCATTCATAAAGAATTAAAATTGAATACTGTATGTGAAAGTGTTCTGTAAACTATAAAGCAGATACAGAAAAATTTAAGTCAAAGGGTAAGGGATGAGGGGCAACTTCAGAAATACATCAAAATCTAAAAGATACTATCAATTACAATACCACTATTATCTAATAATTTAATCTAAAAACAATGCACATACCTTTCCCTGAAAAGGCCCCTGAATAAGCTTGGGGTATTTCTGGGTTGAACTATTTCCATGTCCTAGTTTCCCATAGTCATCATCTCCCCAGCTGAAGACTTCTCCTTCTGTCGTAAAAGCTAAAGTGTGACCATCAGAGCCTTTAGAAGATGAAACCTTTTTAATGAACCTGTGAGGTTCAAAGGTTAACTTTTATAAAGTAGACTAATTATATTGGAGATCTCCAAGGCCCAGGCTCCCATAGCTGCCTTTACCGCAAGCTCTGACCGAACCATCCATAGAAATAACGAAAGTGCAATACTGTCCAGCTTCAATCTACAAATGAACACAATGACAATATAAAATGCTTCTGTGGGTATCAAGGTGTAATATTTAAAATCAGTGTTAGCAAAGAAGTTCAACAGTTAGGGTTAGGCTTAGCGGAATATGGCATGAATATACATAAAAATGAATAAGTAGAGAAATACTAACAGTATTTTCATGTTAACTTCATCTTTGAGCTCAAATTCACATTTATATTATCCTTCCAATTTATCCTTCATGTCTCCACAAAGCCTCGTGTACTCATAGGTGGAGCGTTTCTATGGTGGCTAGATTAGGGTGTATGGTGCTGGAATTAAAAATGTAATGCTGGGATGAAGGGCACCCCACCAAGTGTGAGTGGCATCCCCCAAAGGCAGGAGCCTGGAGGGAATATAATGAAACAGAAAGAAGCTGCCTCGGCCTCTGCAGCTGCCTCTTCCCCGCTCCGCTGCTTTGTTGCCTTCTGCTTCCTAGAGACTGTTTCTCCTCTATGCTGTCCCTCTGCAGTGCCACCCTGCCTTGAAGCCAGCCAACTACAGAGTGAAAGGTCTACAACTGGAACTGAACTAAACCTCTTCTTCTTTAATTTGGGGTGTCAGGTATTTTACCTCAAAAAAAAACAAGTAACTAAGACATCTACCAGTCATGATTGAATGAAACAACAAAGTAAAATGTTTTAGTCTCATTTTATAGTTGGAGAAGGAAAAGAAATAAAATGTTCTTATAAATTCCTTAGGGAAATTATGGAAGAACCATACAGAACATTCTCTAAACTCATTCAGAAAAAAAATACATTTCAATTAAAATAATAAAATAGAAGTTCTTGCTTGAGCTACAAATGTTAAAAAAAAAGTAATCATAATAAGAAAATGAAATGCCTATCTAGAAAAAGGAAAATTAAGGTCTTTAGCCTTTCTTTAGTCTTATTTGCCAAGTGTGTTGAATATAATGGTAAAATCTATTCAATTCAAAAGTCTTTCTAAGAATCCAAATCTCAATTTAGTTTCTGAACCTTGGAAACAGTGTGAAGTGTTTGGGAGATCAAAAAGGCATTTTTCTACTAAAATGAAAAATGGATGCAGTATGGCATTAACACAACATAAACAAGAAACAATCAAGAATTTTCATTCATTTAAAAGATACTCTTAACAAAAAGCAAGTAAGTATAAAGCCATTTGTAAAGTATGCAGGGAACTTACCGTCTGGGCATCAGAGAAACTGGGAGCTAGTTTGGGTTGCAGTATTTTTTCCTGTGTGCCTTCTATCAGCTGATGACTGCTGTTACTTCCCCAAACATAAACCTCACAGGTTTCAGAGACAATGGGAGCATCTCCAGTCTGAATGCTATCTGGGCTAGCACATGTTTTTGAGTAATCAGAAGCCATTCTCCAAACCTATAAAAAGTTTAAAGTAGGAAAAAACGAAACATTTTTAGTTTAGGCATTTTATGCATATTCTCTAAAATTATTGTTACCTTTCTTCCACTTTCAACTGCTCAACCTAAGAATAACACATCTAGTCTTACATATTTAGTCTTAAACACAGATAACTAGAATATGTACTTGCACAGAATAAATCACTAAAAGATATTCATGTAAGAATACAAAATGGAAAAGGAGATATCTTTCCAAATATGAATTTTATTACTGAATACAACCGCATTATAAAAAAAATAAAGTTTAAAAAACACAGAGAAAACCACCATTGATAATCTCATCACCCTAATATAGTAAATGTTATCTTTTTTATGTGTCATTCTGGAATTTTTTTATATACATACTAACACAGTCATTACTATAGTTATATAAATGTGACAAACGTTACAAAAGCTCATGCAAAATTTACTGTCTGCGTAATATTTACAACTGAAAAATATTCAGTACAAAAATCATTATTTAACCATTTACCTTTAATAAGATTTAAATTGTTTCATTATTTTATAGGCCATTTTTAAGAATATAGTTGTTACTATATTTTTTATGACTTCCTTAGTAGAGAATCTAAAAAGTGGTATATCAAAAAAGGACAATAGAGGCTGGAGATTTAGCTCGGGGGCATAAGCGCCTGCCTTGCAAGCAGGCAGTCGTGGGTTCGATCCCCAGTACCGATAAAAAGGAAAAAGACAAAAAAAAAAGGACAATAATCCTACAATCTTGTAATTCTTGAAATGTACTATAGCAAACTATTCCCCAAAATGTTTATAACATTGCTACCAAAGAAAGGCCATCCTCAAAACATGCGCGTCCAGAACACATACACACTCACACACACAAACTCATATACAAAATAAAAGGCATGGCTTACTTACCGTTTGTGTTGAATACAATGGTAAAATCTTCTGCTAGTCACAATGTTTTGTTTTGCTTTTAATCTAAACTTCTCATCAAAAGCACAGGAACGGGTCTTTGGGAGAGTACCAATGTCACTACAGCACCCACACCATTGATGTGTATTGTGCTTTTGAAAGTGTTTTGTTTTTTGGGCTTTGGGGGTTTTGTTTGCCAACTTCAGGGAAAAAAGGGAGAGGCCACTAATCTCACATGTCCTTATTATCAGTAGGGCCACAATTTTGCCATCTATTTGTTTACCACATTATAGTAAGTAAACTTATTTATTAGTGGTTAATGGATTTTTTACTGACTTGTATGCACTCAATACAATAAAGACCTTCAGTGTGACAAGAGCAATTTTGAAGACGCTATTTGGTTCAGTTTTTTTTTTTTAATTTTGTTTTTGCCTAACTGAGCAAGACAATATAAGAAGAATCTTTGAAATCAGACACTATATTAGTTTGCGTGCACATTAAGTGGGCAAAGATAGAATAATTTTAGTGAGAACCTTTAAATAGAATGCAAAACAACAAGTTGGACAAGCATTTTCCAGTGAACATGAAGACAGTTCTAAGAACACAATAAATAATATGTAAGTGAAAACACCTCATCCCCAAGAAAAGATAGGAAATTTTGCTGGTGACAAAAAGATGGTGGGGCCAAGATGGTTAAAACTATTCATTGAAAGACAGATTACTGTAATACGGTTTATAAACAAGAAAAAACGCAGCCTTCTCATACTTCTGCTCTCCACAACACTGAGAAGAAACTACTCACAGAGCTTAAAATGTTTTTTAAAAATAATCATCTAGCTCCTGTGAACTCTTGAAAAATTAACCAGCTTCAGGACTCGTTTCTAGAAGAGAGCCCCACACTGATAAGAAACTCCTGGAAGTGCAAGGAATGATGGAGAGAGTGAAGGTGAAAGCAGGGAAGGAGAACAAGCTGGGAAGACACCATTGTTTCTCAAAATCGCACAAAGATAACATGAGGGCAGGGGTCTATAGAGTTAGAAAAGATGTAATGAATCCTAACCTATTTTAAAAGTTTAGGAAAAGTAATTTCACATAATGACCAACACTAAAGTGCTGACTGAGGTCAAATCCTGTTGTTATTAAAAAAGCAAAGGAAAAGGAGCACAGTAACATCCAAAACACACCACAAGAAAAATGTCTACAAAACAAAATAACTAACTTATTTCAAAACAGGTTAAAGAGGGTTGAGGATTTAGCTCGGCAGCATAAGCACCTGCCTGGCAAGCTGGCAGGCACCAGGTCGTGAGTTGGATCCCAAGTACCAAAAAAAGAAACAGAACAATAGGTTAAAGGGATTAGGAAAATGAAATTTGACAGAAAAACACAAATTTGAATTGGCAATGCTAAAAAATGAAGCGACATACTTAATAAAGAAGTAGAAATAAAAAATATTTCCAAAAGAAAGACTAAACTAGCAAAACTACAGAAGTAAATAATACAATAGACAATGCCCTATAAGGAACAAAGGATGAAAAAGAAGGTATTTTTAGAAATTAAAAAAACAAGATATTTAAAAGTTTAAGAATAAATGACACTGTTAGGCAAAGATCTAACCTACAAATAATTGGAAAGAAACATACAAAGAAACTAATACTAGAAAATATAATTTAAAGACATTTTTCTGAAATTAAAAATATTTGAAACTATATATTGACTTCTCATGACTCTAGGACCATATCCAGAGCAAGTAATATCAAGATGGATTCTAGTAAAATTACTGATCTTTACAAGCAAAAAATGTTCTGCAAAAGACTTCTCAGCAAAACAAGCATGTGACTCACAGAAAAGAACGATTATCTTTGGACTTGGTCTTAAGACAGCAACTCATCATGCTAAAAGAAATTGGGTTAACACAACATACAGAGAAAAAAAATGTAAAGCCAGGAGTAGTGGCATAAGCCTATTTTCCCAGCACTCTTGGAAGGTGAGTCAAGAGGATCATAAATTTGATCACAGCCTGGGCAACTCAGCAAGACTCTGGGGACAAAAAAAAAAATGCTGGAGATGTTACTCAGTGCAAAGGCCCTAGATTCAAACTCAGTGCAAAGGCTCTAGATTCAAACTCAGTGCAAAGGCTCTAGATTCAAAACTCCAGTACTGGAGAAAGGGAAAAGACAAAATGACAGACATACAAAGGAGAGAAGGGGACAAAGGGTGAGAGAGAAAGAAAAAGGCACAGAGGGGAGGAAGGACAAAGGGAGAAAGTGGGGGAGGAAAAGCGAACCAGAGAATTTATTTCCCAAACATTTTGTAGTAAACAGCATAGAAATTATCAATATACAAAAACTATGAGGCTATCATTCCTCTGAGTTTTTTAAAAATCTACTACAAGATGGGCTTCAAACAACCAAAAAGATTACAGAGACCAGAAGTAAGCATTACATATATAGTTACTTACAGAACTAATACTAAATGAGGGCTTAAAAGTACATAATATAGAGTATGTAATGACTACATATTCTAAGTACAACTACAATAAAGCAGAACATTACAAAGTTAATTTTCAGTAATCACCAAAAAGTAATATTTGTAATTATTATTATTTTAGGACAGCTGTGTGTATGTTTATGTGTGCATTTGTGTGCATAATGTGATTAAAACAAATCAGTAATTGTAAGATAATCTAAATCTATCATCCCTGTATCCTTTAAAATCAGCAATTTTAGTTAGAAGGAAAAAAGATATAAATGTAATATAAAAAAGGCTAAATCAGAGGTAAATATACCTGGCTTTAAATATACCACACAGGCATACATCCCACAACACACCACAATTTCCTTCCTCTGTTTATTAGAAAAGCCTAGAAAATTAAGATCAACTCACTAGCAGTAAGCATCTCTAGCACCCTCATCATGGTATTGAAATTAACAATTCTCAATAACAAAATCACAGCCTTTTTGAAGAAATATCAAGTTTATTCCCAGGGCAAGAAATGCACATGATGCACCAAGAATAATATGCTGTATCAAAAAGCAAAGAAACTCTTGAAGAGTTAGCAGCCTTATGTCAAAAGAATTTAGAAAAATTTTGAAAATATTACCACCCTGACAAGACAAGACAACAAGCCTAAATAAAGCAACACTGACCACAAATAATTCAACACTCAAGTTTAAAATCATATTTGTTAATCAAGTTTTTAATCAAGCTTAAAAGGATGATAAAGGATCAGTTCATTAAATTGAAAATAAAGGCTAAGGATTTAGCTCAGTGGCACAGCAACTGCCTGCTTAGTACAAGGTCCTGAATTTGATTCCCAGTATCAAATAATAATAATAATAATAGTAATAGTAATAATAAATTGAAAATACAAGTAAGTAGGGAGAGTCAAGCATCTTTTCTGCCTTTCCTGCATGAGCGATAGCAGAGTAACCAAACAGTTGATATGGAAAGCATCTCTTTATAAAAACATTCTTACTAATAAATGAAAAAATAATAGAATTAAAACACCATAACAACTAACCACAAATCAATTAGATCTAGTTGTTAAGCACCACAAAGAGGTAATCAGATGAAACCAGATGAAAAAACACAATACCATGTATGTATCTTGCCAAATAATCAAACCTGAGACTGACTGAGCCTCTGGATCCAGATGCCAACCTGCAGGCAACTCAAAAGACAAAGACACTGAACTGATTTAAGAGTAGTCAATCAGCAAAATACAGACTAGGAAAATCTACAGTCTAAGTGAGCTACTGCACATATACAGTGAAGGAAAAAAAGGATGTATCGATTCAGAGATTGAAAACTTTTCTATTTTTTAATGGGCAAGAATGAACTAGTATCTAGGGAGGCATACCTGAGCAACATCCCTACAAAGAACCACAAGGAAGTTGTTAGTCTAAAAGCCATGTAAGTGATTATGTTCAGGGAAGGAGGAAAGAAGTTATGACAAGGACGTGAAAGGCTTCTGCCATGGCCAGGAAAATTCTATTTGTTTATCTGAGTACAGATTAAAAAGGTGTTTATTTAATAATCCCTTGAGTCATACATGTCCTTCTGTATGTGCTTTAATAATAAAAAATTTTGCCAGGTGTGGTGGCACATGCCTGTAATCCCAACACTTGGGAGGCTGAGACAGGAGGATCATTTCAAGTTGGAGACCAGCCTGGGCTACAAAATGAGCTCACAGCCAGCCTGAACTGCACAGCAACACCTTGTCTCAAAAACACAAAATAATAATAAATAATAAGTTTCTCAATTAAATTTACCAGTACATGATTCAATATTCAAAAAACATACAGTGAAAATATTTCTTTACCACCCCTGGCCCAAACACCTTAGAATCCAACTCTCTAGAGGCAATCACTCATGCCACCTTCTTTTGGAGCCTTTCTTTTGGATTGTACTTTTAGTTCCTTCTCCAAATACATATTTTTAATGGGTAAGTACATGCTATAGTATTTAAAGATGAAGTAATACTTAATGCAAAATCCATGATGATTACATACCTCTTCAAAGAGACATAAAGCTGCCTCATAGAGTGAGCACAGGCCATCAGATGTTCTGGTTGGTTCTCTCCACTAAATCCGATCAGCAGATGACCCCTGTGATCAGCAGATGACCCCTGTAATTAAACACTGCAGGATACAGCATGGGAAGGAGAAGATACTATATTTAAAATCACTAAAATACTCCATGCAAACAATGTCTATTTTAAGAATTATTTACAAGTTTGTTTATTGTTTGTTCACTTGTTTTTTGTGGTACTGAGGATAGTGTTTAGGGTCTTGGACACACTAGACAAGTGCTCTGCCACTGAACCCTGAGGACTGTTTATATGACTGTGCACAGTGGAACCAAATCCTAACGTTTGATCTCAAAGTAACTTTTACACATAAGTGTTATAAAAGGCCTGGTTATTGAGTCAGATGGCAAATTAACACCCAATCTCTCCATGATTCATTTATTAAAGACTGATTCATTTCAAAGGGTCACAAGACTCTAAAAATGGCAAAAAAGAAGGGAACAGGTAGTAAAATGTTCTTTGGGTAACTTCCTGTGAACCCCCAGGGTTGTCTTACTTTCCTGCCCCAAGGGATACAGATAAGTAGAATACAGCCATCTGCAGTAATGATCCAGAGAGGCAAAAGTCTATCCTTATCTTCTCAGTTTCAGCATAACTGATATTCCAGGAGTCAGTTTGTGTCTACACTAACAACAAAGCATCTTTTTCCTACTACACTTAAAAGATTTACAGAATTTCTCTGGGACGTGTTTGCCATAGCAAGGCCCAGTGAGAGAAATCATTACCTTAATGAAAAATGGTAGAAAGTGAACCACATCCATGGCACCTCAAATTTCACCACAAATGTCAAGTTCTTTCTATGACTTTTCAATGCTATAATTGTGAAAATTTCACTTGTGATTTTATTTCAAAAGATACTACATTGTAAACATATAATCAGATGACTACTTACTTGGTAGATATACAATATGAAAGTACCACAGAGGAAAAGTTGACTTACATGCCCTGCAAGATTCCATTCTATGCTTTTATCAATGCAAAGTATATTACACTTACAACTTTGTAATTCCTATAATAAAAGAAATGACTATTTTGAACCAAATATAAAATCCCAATCAATGTTTTCAAACAAATATCCACAGTATTTTAATTCTAATGAAGTTTAGTTAGAATTTTTTTCTCTTTTTTTGCAACTGGGAATGGAACCCAGAAACACTGAGCTACATTCCCAGCCCTTTTTTATTTTGATAGAAGGTCTTGCTAATCTGCTAAATTGCTCAGGCTGGGCTCCAACTTGCAATCCTCTTGCCTCAGCCTCCCAGAATACTAGGATTATAGGCAGGTGCTACCACATCCAACTTAGAATTTTTAAAGTTTCATAACACATTAAAGTTTTGCAGAGCTTTCATTGTTGTTCTACATATTCACCTGCCTTCTATGTCACCAAAAAAAAAATCAACTTATGGTGTTTTGTTTTATTTTGTTTTTCTTAAAAATTTAGCCTGGCTATATTGCCCAGACTGCCCTCAAACTCCTCAGCTCAAGCATTTATCCTGCTTCACTTACATGAATAGCTAGGACTGGACACAAACACTGCATCCAGCTTATAGTGGTGAAACATCTATCAACCTATATCTTCTGGGAAGATACACACATTAAAAACCCTTGTATCACTTAAACAGGAATCATTTTGGAATTCTCCAACAGCTGTTACAGTGCAGAACTTTTCTTCTGGAAATTCTCTGCCTTCAAAACCTCGTGCAATGGAGTCAGGTGTGGTGGTACACACCTGTGATCCCAGTACTCTGGAAGACTGAGACAGGAAGATCAAAAACTTGAGCCCAGTCTGGGGAACTTAACAACTCAGCAAGACCCTCACCCAAAACTGGCTGGGGATGCAGCTCAAGGCTCTAGTACTAGAAGAAAGAAAAATAAAAACTCCTACAATGAAGCCCAAGTAAATGACCCTTCAGACAACTTTCCTTACCCCAGCAAAGCTAAACAGTTCAGTACTTTCTTGCTTTACAGATGGCTCCCTTTCCCATTTCTCAAAAGTGTTTATAAACTTAAAATGTAAAGCCTGGGTTGACAGTGAAGATCAGAGATAAAACACTTGATAGGCAAACGTTCCTATCATCAGGCTCTGTTCCCCCCACCCCATCATTAACTATCATTTATAACTATTTTCTTCTGCTTGCTGTCAATAAGCTAATCAGACTCTTCCAATCACAGAATATGCTGCCATCTCTACATTTTTGGTTCTACTTAGCTAGTTTTTTTTTTCTTCCCTTCCTTCCTTTCTCTCATTCTTTTCCCCTTCCTTTCTTCTTCGTGTTTTTCTAACCAGGGACCTCTAAATTGCTTAGGCTACCTTGAATTTGTGATCCTCCCACCTCGGCCTCCCCAGTAACTAGGATTATAGGTGTGTGCCACTGTGCCCAACTTAGCTACTTCTGTTATTACTGGGTCACCTTCAGTTGCCAAGTCAGTTTTTCTTTGTAACTACTTTAGGCAGGGCTTCTCAAGTTTTAATGATACTAATTACCTGACAATCTTGTTAAAATATAGATTCTGATTCAGGAAGTATAGACAGGGCTGAGATTTTGCTTTTTTTCTTCTTTTTTCAGTATGGGGAGTCAAATTCAAGGGCATTCTAACACTAATAAGTTACATCCTACGTCTTTTCACTGGGAGATCTCACTGGGAGAGTCTCACTGAATTTCCCAGGCTGGGCTTACACTGATGATCCTGCTGCTTCAGCTTCCCAAACAGCTGAGATTACAGGTGTGCACCATCACGACCATCAAGAGTCTACATTTCTAACAAATCCCAGGTGATGCTCATGCTACTCTCTGAGGCTCATATTTTGACATGGAGGGCTGGAACCACATAAAAAGCTGAATGTTTCAGGAAATAACCAGTCCCTAGATATATATTGTGTTGCTATAGCAGCCAATACTTTGGCACAACCTCTCTAAATTGTTTAATTAGCTGCACAGCATTTCTGGGGAAAACACAATTGTGATATGTGGCTCCATTATTTAAAGGCAAACTCTTGTGATCACTAAATCAAGTGATGAGGAACAAACTGCTGTAACTTTATGGTAGCTGGCACCAAAGCCATTATAATCCCTCTTTCATACTTTTCTAGGACAATGCTGAAAACAGCAATAGTGACCAATCTAGGTTTAAATCTAGGCTGCATACTTACTAGTCACATGACTCATCTTTAGATACAACTGGGAAGACAGATCATGTATGCCTTTCCAACACATAGCAAGATCTCAAAACTGACAGCAGTATTTAATATTATGTACACTGAAAAAGAGAATACTAGGAATATTAATTCTTGCTAAATTTAAAAATATTATACCAAGGTTAGACTACAGCTCAGTGGTAGAGCACTTGCCTAACAAGTGGAAGGGCCTATGATTTTCAATATTTAAAAAAGTAAATAGATAAAAGAAAAACCTAAACTAATAAAATATTCTGCAAATTCCATGTAATACACATTGTCACTAGTTTATTTCCTTTTCCAAGAAAAGTCAATTAGTTGAGGATGAGTCTACCCCAGTCAAGATTAGAGACATCTCTACAATCCACTCTACACAGAATTGTTAGTACTGTGTGTTTTATAAATATGCTGCATAGCTAGAAACAACTAAAATTATCTATCTTTAAAGAAATTAAGTTGTGAAAGACAGTTGATTAAATGTGTAACTTCATATACCATTAATATATGATACAAAGTATAACAGTCCAAGTAAAAATTAAAGCAACATAAAGTTGTGATTTCTAAAGTATCCATTTAATTACCTTTGTCTTAAATAATTACCATCCAAAATAATATAATACCTTTCCCCCCACATTTGTCTAAGGTATTCAGACAAGGATGTACAACTAGAGGGAGTACATTTCCTTAAGGTTCTGTCTTTTCTCAAAATTGCTTCAGACTTTCCACTACCTACAAGTTAAGTGCCCAAATCATACATCATGGGATATAGCACCTGCCTAGCTCACAGCCTCATCTCATCCCATTCTACGCCCCCATATCCAGGAGCTTGCTGCTTCCCACACCCTGGTCACTTTGTGAATTTTGATTTTCCCTTCCCCACCTAATCCCAGACTAATTCCTTCTTTCAACTAATGTAAAGATCCTTCCTTCGTAAGGCCCACTTTTTATGTTCATAAACCCCCTTCCAATGCAGACCTTTACTGGTCATCCCATTATCTTTAATTTGAAATGTGTATGTCTCCCTCTTCCATTAAATCATGATCTAGCTAAAGTAAAGGCACAGATGCTTTTTAACCCAGCAGCTAACAATATCTGCAACAAGTTTCCAGTAAATATTCAATGGCATCAAATGCCAAAGGAGTTTATATTATGGTTTTTTTTTTTTAGAATTTGAAGATGTACATTTACATTACAATATGAATAACTTTCTTTTCCCTCTACTCTTATTTAAAGAGTATTTTATATGTGCCTACTCAAATATATACTTGGGTAGCTGAGTTTAAAAATCACACAAATAAACATAATTCACAGGTTGAACTTATTTTGTTAGACTTTGGTAATGAACTGATGGTTATGTGCAGCTCCCTGTATCTTACAATTCAAATCCTATCCCAGTCATACAGAGGCCAAGAAACTCATGGTAAGGACATTCAGGTTACATGGGGTCTAACACAGCAGGAGAGGCTCACGTAGTCTGAGTTCTCAGAGTACATAGTAAAGGGTAAGAAACTTGAGTTCTGGAGATCAAGATCATCATCAGATTCAGTCATTCGCTACACAAGGAGCAATAACTAATACAAAATTCAATTAAATAACCATTCCTTTCCCCTAAAACCAATCTGAGTTTTAATTTAATTGATAACTAATGCAGGTCAGAGGTAACTTTGAGAGAGACAAATTAAATCAAACACACAGACTTCTTCCCCCAGAGTAGAGGCATGATTCTGCAGAAAGCAATGTAGTTTTCTAGAACACCAGTGGCCCAACAAGGAGCTATGCTACAGGGCACTATATGGCCTTGAAGTCCTATGAGCTTCAGTTGGTAGGTGACTTCTGACTAGGTATGCTTGGTAGTTTGCCCAAGAATGAGGCCAAGTGGAGATAAAGCTCAAAATCCAGCAATAAAATAAACATATTTTACATCTACTTTTAAAGTAGTCATTAATGGGGGAAAAATGAATCAATTTAGCAAAAATGGAATAAAAACTGCATAGAATAATCAGAAAAAATAATAAGCTTTGCAGACTGATTCAGGGTCATAAGAACTATTTAATATTATGCCTGATCTATTATGTGCTTAAATCTGGAGTACCTGTTATATTACATTGTTGTTCGATGTATTTGTAAATCCAAGCTACCACATTTGTTTCATCTTCAAGATCAGGGTAATTAACATCTGCCTCACACTTAACATGATAACTGAATGAGACAGCACATAAAGTATGTGGTGCTGGATGGTAGGCACTCAACAAAATGAATTCTCTTCCTTCCTTCCTTGGGATGGAATATTGCAGGCTAATTAAATGAAGAATAAAACATATAAGTAAGTATACACATTTACTATAAAGATTTCTTGGGTGTGCAGAGCAATTTACACTATCAATCAGTGGTCTAGGTTTCTGAGGTAATCTCTTCCTTATAAGAAGGGTATTTGTAGGCTAAGGCCTTAGCCACATAATCTACTAGTGACATATTTAACTGTTTTAACTAATAAATCCATTAGTTAATATTTCACAATAAAAAACAGCAAAAAAAGACGGACAGTGTAGCCTAACTGAATTAAGTCAGTTTAAAAATATTTGAGTCTTACTCTTCCAAGTTAGTATTTTAATATTCAAATTTTTATCCTTGGTTTTCACAAAAGTATTAATTTCAGTTTTAAAAATTCTTGAAATTTACTAGATACTACACTATGTTGTTTGTTCTTTAATATGGTGTGCAAGGTTATGACAGTCAAGCAATTTCCTCTGATGACATACTCTTTTCAGACTCCTGCTTAGCTCATCATCTCCCTTCTTTCAGGTCTCCACTCAAAGGTCACAATGCAGAGTCCTTTCCTTAATCAGACTAACTAAAATAGCGCATCTTTCACCTCACAGCCTTTTCCCTGAGTCTGTCACTCTCCATTCCCTGTGTTCTTCATTTTTCATCTTAGAACTTCTCTCTACTTGAAATTTTGTATGTACTGTTTCTCTCACCTTACTCAACTGTTAGCTCTATGAAGGCAGAAACAGCACCCACAGGCCTATAACCCCAGGCTGTAGACTAACAGTTGTTGTACCATAAGTGATTAACAAAACTTGGGAACCAAGGATGCAATTGCACATGTTTTAGAAAGACTTTCATATTAACTTGGCAAGGTCCCTCATTTTACATGAGTTTATAAGTATTTAGAAGTTAAATTAATTTCCCACACTCACATAAATCTTGAAACTAAAACAGTAAACATGCTTCCTAATCCAGTGGTCTTAATTCTGTACCAATTAGTCTGTCCTTACTTATCAACATGGATGAGTTTTTCATACAAAGTACATAAATATTAACTACCAAACACCAGAAGAACTTTTAAATCATTTACTTATCACTAATTCACTAAAAGCTGGTGTGACTTTCTCAAAAATTGTTACAAACTTGAAAATTGACATTTACAGCCAGGCATGGTAGCACATACCTATAATCCCAGGATTTGGGAGGTTAAGGGAGTAGGATTACCTCAAGTTCAAGGCCAGCCTGGGCTACATAATGAGTTTAAGGCCAGTCTGGATTTCAGAGTGAGACTCTGCCTTAAAAACCCAAAAAAAGAAGTAAGTAAAGTTGACAGTTAAAGTACATACCAAAGAACGTCTCATCTGCATTAAGATAGTCATAAAGCAGTCAAAGCTGATCATTCCTTCCTGGCTTCACAGTAGTTTGGTTTTCTCCATGTTATTAACAACTGCTGAAGCCCCCAAAGCCCTTTCTATCCATTCAAGAAGATGCCGCAGAGAGCCTCGCTGAGCTGCTAAACCAAGCAGCAACTCAGAAGCTAATCTACGACCTAAAATGTCTACCCCAGAATTGGGAATAGTTACTCCTTTAAGAAATGTTGTTACTTGTGATAAGCAGTCCAAACCCACAGGAGGAATCTTGCTTTCATTGGCTAAAGATAATGGTGGCAAAGAGCTCACAACTTCAATTGCAGGATGAATAACATCGTTGCAAAGACTAAGGCCAGGTCCCGACACAGGCATCATCCAACTTTGTCTCAGAAGTGCAAATAATAACTTAGACCAGTTCAAACACCCATTTCTGTAAGTGCATCAGTGCCTGACCGAGGACGTTCACTCACAGAATGGACAGCTGCTGCACCAGAGCTGCTCTCCGGAGAATGCCGCGCTGTTTCACTTTTCCTTTGTCATGGTATTTATTAGAAAGTGCATAGAAGACACGCTGGAGTACAAGCAGGCGTTTTCGCAGCGCCCCAGCAAATGGAGAATCTGAACAAACCATCTCTGCTAGTGCTAGCTGGCTGCTAAGAAGTGCATCCAAATAATGGTCCCGTTCGTCACTTGAAAGAGATTCACGTTCAAAGTCTGGCAACTGTGGTCCTTTGAGGCATAAAACTTGTTGGGGCAAAGCTACTACGTCCTTATTGCTGACTAGTTTAGGATACGGGATGGCAACTCCCTCTCTTGTAGCAATAGATTCACTGTCTTCTGTAATCCAGGAACTGTTCAGGTGTTCGAGCCATTTCAGTTTCACTGGTGGAACCATAGTTGCCATTAGTTCTATAAGGGGAAAGGAGAAAAGTCAAAAACTTATATGGATGATTTGTAAAATGTTTCTAAACTTCCACCTTATATTACAATTAGTGATTTCAAGTTGGTGAAATGAAGTCTGGAGTTGAATTCATGGTTCTGTACCAATCGTGGTATTGTAGCTTTGATAAACTCATGGTTTTATTAACATTAAGGAGAAATGGGTGAAGGGATACAGGAACTTTTCTTATAAAAAATTATTTAAAAAATAGTGATTTCTTCAGATGATCCTTTTCCCTTCAGGTTCTAATGTCACGTGACTCCCACATTTCATCTCTAACCAAGACCTCTTCCCTAAACTCATATATACAATTATTCTCTTTGCTTCACCACATAGATACCTAATGGGCATTTAAAAGTCTGCATGTCTAAACTTGAACTCCTAATCTACCACACAGTCACCACTAGAACTCAAATCTGTCCCTCATCTCAATAATTCGCAAGCCCATCACTATCCAGTAATGGTGATCTTTCAGAGATCAGTACCCAAACTGCAACCCAAAGCCCACTTACATATCACAAAGTACCAACACAGGAATTAAACCTTAATACTGAGGTTTCAGTTTAGAAAAACAAATCATACCTTAATATCTTTCATCTTAAAAGAAAAACATGTAATATGTATGCCATCTGTTCACCACCACTGTCTTACTTAGATCCTTGAAGACCTTCACTGAATCTGTCCTAACACTAAATTCCATTGGTGAGCCCTATTTTCACAAACTATATCCTGAACCCAACTCCACTGCTACAACCCTGGTCCAAGCCATCAACTCATAGGTCAACTGAAAGAACCTCCAGAGAGGTTTCTCTGCCTCAATCTTTACCACCCTCTGATCTCTTTTAATAAGGTAGATAAAGCTTCTGAAATTTAAGTCAGGCATCTCTTCTAAGTCAGATGGGCTAGCTTTGGCATAGACCAACTGTTATGATTTAGATCTCAAATGATTCTCAAAACCTCACAATTTGGAAGAAGCAGGAAATATATCTGACTTGCTATAAGTAAGTGGGGTCTGGTAGGAAGGGGAAGGTCACTGTGGCAGTGATCTGGAAGGGCTGATCTCACTTCCTGGTTTTTCCTTTAATTTTCTGCCTCCTGTCTGCCATGAAGTGAATAGCTTTCCTCCACCAGTACCTTCCACATGCTGTTTCTGCTATGGCTGGCACACAATGCAATGTCTGAAAGGACTGAAACCTGAGCCAAAATAAACCTCTCCTCCTTTGAAAGTTGTGGGTGTCAGATATTCTGTCCCACAGAAAAGTGACTAGGATGCCAATGCTCTGGCCAAGAATAATTGGGAAGCACAGATAGCTTTTGTAATCTGTTTAAAGCCACAGGGGAGTTCTGAAGGGACCTGGGGAACTGAATAATGACTCTAGGGTACAAGGAATTTAAAAAAGGATGTGTTTCCCTTGGGTATATCTGCCAGTTCTAAGCACAGAGTAGGAGGCTGAGAATCAAAATTTGCCTATGCAGACAGTAACTGCTTAAAGATAAGAGAATCCAGCACAGCTTTTGGCTGTACTGAGCTTACAAAAAACAACTAGATTTGAGAATCTAGGATTAGAATTTGAAATGAGATATGGCGAAATAGTCCTTTTAGAATGTCTGCTAAATTCTAAGGCTACATAAGACAAAAGGCTAGGAACTAAGCAGAAAGCCCCCAAAAAGCAGAGCAGAGTTTCAGCACTGTCACAGGTTTCTGTGACAGAGAAAGAAACTCAAGCTGAGGACCAGCAGGATACAGCCCCCAATGAATGTGCCAGGTTCTTAGATAACAGCTCCGAAAGACTAGCACCCAAAAGCTAAACAAATAAAAGGGAATCTGAGCCTTACCAAAACTACAAACATTCATTCAACCTTCCTCCAACTGCCCACTGGGGAAAGTGTCTAACTTTTATACACAATGCTGGGCACTTAATAAAGAATTACCAGAATCATACATCTATAATCCCAGCACTCAGGAGGCTGAGGCAGGAGTATCTCCATGAGCTCAATGCCAGCCTAGGTTACATAAGTAAGTTCAAGACAAGCCTGTACTACAGATATTCAGGCTCTGCCTCAAAAAATAAACAAACAAATAAAAAGCATTACCAAGCATGCCTAGAAGTTGATATCATACCACAAACTAAGAAAACAGATCTTAAGGCAGTCTAACTTTAATATCTTTATAAATGATGAAAACATGGAAAAATTCACCAGTTATAAAATTTACAAAGTAAATGGATATCCTAGAACTGAAAAAACACTAAAATATATGTGTGCAAGAAATTTCTTTTTTCTCTTTAAAAACCCCCAATGGTTTCCCCTCTCAGGTTAACAGGCACAATTCTTAAAATAGCTAATAAGGTTATAAAGGTTATATACAACATAGCCCATCCACTACCTCTTGGACTTCACCTCCTGCTTGCCTGTTTACTTGGCTCCAGACACACTGGTCTCCTTCTTTTTACTGGACATACAGAACATCCATATTTTTTCAGACTAGAAATTTCTTTTCCCAGGATATCCATGCTGCCCACTTGCTATCACTGTTCTCTTAGTCCATGGCTACTCTGTACAGCAGGTAAGGTAAGGATAGACTTATAGGAGTTGGCATGTTTTATCTCTATTCTTAAGGCTGATTATTTTCCAGCAAGGTCCTATTTTTGGGGAAATGCAGTTAAGTCTTTACTAAACACTACTATTGTGCAAAGCACATAAAAGTACTTACACCCATCCATTACTGCAAGCCATAGGTAATATCACTCTTTTAAATTCTGCCTATTTGATAACTGTAAAGGGATATGTTGCTGTTCTAATTTATATTTTCCTAATTACTAATCACTCTGAATATCTTATGCTCATTGGTCCTTTGAATAAACTCTTCTTGGGACATGTTTATTCAAGCATTCTCCTATCTGGTCAATTTGTAAAGAGAGATAGAAGCACATGAGCATGCACGTGTGTGGGGTGTGTATGTGTGTGTGTTGTCATAGTCTATCAACACTGTAAATGTTTCTTCTATCTTTTGCATATATACACACATCTTTTCTGTTAAAGCTTCTGTTTTTCACCCTTGGTCAAATAGCACTTCCACCCCATGCCCATGATCAGATTACACAGGCATTTGCTATAATTTTTAGAGATATTTGTTTTTATTTTTTTTAAAAAATGTACCTTTAGGCCATTTAGAACTAGAGCTCTGTGTTCATTCTGAAATTTTAATAAACGCTATACAATGTGAAACTGTTTCCGGAGGAATGGCTAATTATGCCACCAACATTTATTTAGTTATCTAAGACTTTAAAGAAGTCAAGCATGACAGTTGCATATTATCCTGCCAGAATTCTTTCCTCAAGTGTGGAGGATCACCTGGACTCTCCTTTAAAGAAGATCCATTATCTCCACTTGGGCTAAACTGGTCCTATTTCCATGTATTAATCTGTAACAGAGCTGACTGGCACTTTTCCTTATCCCTTGAACTGGCTTTAAGCAATGCAAATCGGCGGAGGTGCTGACGTGTAGTCTTTCAAGCAAGGCAACAAGTCAGTGCTGCCTCAGCCCGTAGCCTCCCAAGAAGCACATGAGCCAAGCGAGAAGGAGAACCACAAGGCTCTATGCTGGATGCAAGCTGGAATCTGGGATAGAGCCTAGAGATAAGAGGCTATGACTTCCCAGGGCATAATAAATTACACATCAGAGCTGAAGCACCAACTCCTAAACATCAGAAACTACCTCATACTGTGTTGTGAAAATTATTCTTTGTACATATCCTTCTCTGCATATTGCAGAGGTGGTTTCAGGATACCTACCTGTCCCAGTTCAGAGTACTCACGTACCTTCTGCCACTCTCAAAGCAACTCATCACCGAGTTACTTCCCTCACGGAGAATTAATAAATCCAGGGTTTACACTTTGTTATGGTGAACTTTCATCCTGGTCTGATTTAGGAACCCTTTGGCTTCCCACACCTATAAATATGCCCTCATTAAGTCTTTATTCTGTTCTCTTGCTCCATGGCTACTCTGTATAGCAGGGAAGGGGTTGCACTGGAAGTGGTAGATTGGAATTAACTTGCTAGCATTTCAGTAACTTTTCCAAGGGATTACAAATATAAACTTCCTGGACCATGAGGAAGACCGGGAAGTGTTCTCTATACTCAAATATAAGGGGAAAAAATTAAATTCTGTACCAAAGCACACTGGTTATATAATTTGAAGATTATAGAATGCCACAATTGCAAATAAAAATAAAAGAGAAAAATCACTCAATTCCAGTGTACACACTCTCACTCCCCTCCAGCCATAGGGCTTTACGGCAAGGCAGGCAGACTAAGAAAATTACAAACAAGGAAAAGGAAGTCTGATGAAGGGCCCTAAAGGTGATTTGGGGTAACAGCAACAAGGATCAAATCCATGCCAAATCTGAAAACACTGGAAAGATATGTTGGCAGGGGTCAGAACAAAGACTAGGTAAGAAATTTCAGAGGACATTTAATTTTAAGAGGTGGGGATGAGTTAAAAGAGTAGGTATAATTTTAAAAGCATGAAAATAAATAAATAAATAAATCAGACACTGCAGAGGTGATTTCAGGACTTACTTGTTGAAAAGAGAAAAAGGTAACAAAACAAAACCTGCTAACTACTTGGACTCTGCTATATTGGCAGAGGAGGGTATCGTTACATTAGAAATACTATAAAATACTCAATAATAAAAATGGAGCAAGAGAAAATGTTAGGGATCTCAAACTCACAGTGGCTAATTTTGCATACTTCCCTAAGAGATAAACTGAGGCATGGGATTATCAGTATCACCCATTTGAGATTTCTCATTAACTCTTTGGGATGGGCCATCCTCTCCCACTCACCAAGACTAAAACTAAAACCACTAAATTCAAAAAACACTCTAGGGCAAGAGTCTTCTTAGCATAAGATCATTTCTGCGCTCTTGAGTCATTCCAAAATTATACTTATCTTTTGAGTCATAAA